CATCTATCCTCTATTACAAATCAAAATGCAGATTTGTTGTCACCCGTGAGGACTAAGATGGAATGCCTCATTTCCAGTAAAAAGGGCCTCCGGCCACCTGCACTCACCAAGCGAAACGCAGAGGTAAACCTCTACTTCACGCTGGTATTCTGTGAGGTCGTGGTACCACCCCGGTTCGAGCCGGCCCATCCGTGCGACAGCAAAAGCCGCCACGTGGCTCTACCACTGTTTAATGTGTTTGTATGGTGAGTGAAGAGAACCGGAGAACCTCTTCTCTGAAAAAGAGCCATTCCATCTTAGTTCTCACGGGGGACAACGCATCAGCATTTTGATCCTTTATTTAGGATAGGTGTAGATGTATATGGGTCACAGCAACCACTTACCATCAGGTGGACTGTGTACTCGTTTGTCAGTCTATCCAATAAAAAAACGTGGCGGGCCTTGGGGCTATCACCAGCAGTGTCAAGTTCAGGTACTACTATTTAATAACGATGATGCAGACGATGGAGCAAGGTTACGTTATTCATAAAGCCATGTCGCTCCCAGGCAGTTTATATAATCAATTTTTCATTTATTGACAAAAACAATTTTTCTTTGATACAAAAGAAAATATTTTAGAGCAACCAATTCAAGTGGAAAAAGGTAATAAAAACACTTCATTTCAACGGTTCTCTTATTTCATACTGGTGTAGAGAATATGAAATGAGAGTATTAAACGAAAATAAAAGTCGACGAGTCGTAACCGCACAGACGGTGGCAATTGAAATATCGAATGAAAATATAGGAAAACTCTTAAAATGAACTTCAACAAAAGTATTTCTAAGCTTTGAATACTGTAAAGTTTCACCGCCTCGTAGGTGTAGTGGTAGTAAACACGGTTGCTTAGCGTGCGGTCGCGGGTTTAACCATGTATTGTCCCGTGAGTCATATATGAACATTTCCATTGTATAACTTTGTCGTTTTAGTGGACAGGGAAAATATGAATTTATTAAACATGCAGGTTTACTTCACCACCGAACACGAGGTAAATCAGCACTTAAATTGGTGCTTAAATCGATACCCGGGTTGCCCCCGTAATGTGAAATTTATAGTGCGTGCTTAGTCTCTGAGCTACTATGACTCACTACAATTGTATTGACTTGACTGACTTGACCTTGAATGTGTCATTGGTTTGGTGGTAGCAAGCACGACTGCTAATCATGAGCTCCCGGGTTTAAATTCCGGGTCAGGCCAAAGTCAGTTGTTGGGTTATTCTGTTAAAAAAATTCCAGTAGCATCTCGGAATCGGCAAGTAGGCGGTGTTCCACCCCGTCAGTGTTTCACCACCTTGCCTTGGTAAGCAGGTAAGGCCGTTATCTCATTTCGGTTGTAACGGTTTGTCGTCCCATCGGATAATGAAACTAAGCTCCTGAATAAGATCAATCCTCTATAGGAAGAATCATATTCCCATTCGGTAGGTAGTTTGTTGATCACAGTACCAAATGGCTCGCATATTTTACGCTGTTTCCTGGATATATCTAGCTTGAATTTTCTATAGGCCGCTCTTATAACAGCTACGCAATGTAATAGAGAGATTGATTCTTTCTTCCTTCACATCCATATACCTACGCATACATGCTTGTCGGTAAGGAGTTCTCCTAATTTGGTCTGTCTTTAATATATTGCCAATTTGGTCGATAAACTGCCGTCAAGAGCGTCCGTTGCAGACTCAATTTTGGAACATAAATTAGCTTTGTCACTCTTTTCTCATTCATTCTTTCTACATAACTTAACTACCGAAGCATTCCTCTGTTAGTCCTGATCACAATAATATCTTGCAAAGCCCACTTTTCTCTTGAAGGTAAAAGTTAAAGTTACAGTCTATATATTTCCCGCTGCTGGGCACAGGCTTCCTCTTATTTCTAACCCCCCTGCCACACACTCGTCGAGTGGTGTGGTAATTAGCGAGGAAAGGAGGCAGAGACATAGTTCTTCATCATGCTCCCGTGTTGTCAGTTTTTTGGACGCGACTCAAAGGACTGGCAATATGAGCGCGAGTGGGCGGTCACATAATAGTCCGAACGCAGTTCGATTCCAGCGCTGGTTACAGAAGCGTCTTTCTATTGCGATGAATAGATGTCATCCACCATCTCCGTTGGCGAGCACGACGACGTATATTTCTTTTTATGACATAGATATAATTGGCTTTACTAAATATGCATATAGCGCGCACGCTGCCACAGTCTCAACAATCATTGTGTTGCAAACGCAAACAATCTGGTGCGGAGCATCGCGATTAATAGCACGAGTAGAGCAGTGTGTGGGCAGAAGGCAACATCGCGGCAGCGCAAGAAGCAGAGCGATGAGCAGTGCGAGAAGCACAAGCATAGTGTGGTGAAGCCTTGCGACGGTTTAAGAGCAAGGAAACGTTCGCCGCCCTGCTCCAATGCGTTTTGGCGAACTTCACATGTCTTTGAAATATTTTTTTCTTATTTGTCAGATATGCAGGTTTCCTCACGATGTTTTTCTTCACCGCCGAGCACGTGGTAAATCAGCACATAAAATTGCAATTTACAATTTCATTGGTGCCGACGGGTATCGAACCCGGGTTGCTCACGTCTCTCATTTTTCTCTTATCACACAATTTCTTACACTGGCATTTACATTTTTCTGTTATGTGTTACTGTTACCACCTAGTTACTACTACTGCAATTTATAGGGTAGGAAAGCAAGTCTAATTGAAAGTTGTGAGCCATTTTATCTTAGATGCGTTCTTTAACATAAAAAGGTGTCCGGTTCTCTACACTCACTATACGAAGCACAGTAGCATTAAGCTGCTATTATACGCTAGCTAGCATCCTTTGAGAGCGTGGTTTTTCCCGGTCAACCTGACCCATTCGTCATACAACCATAATACCCACAGTGGGGTGGCTTTACCATGTATAAGTAATAATATTACTAATAAGTCGACTTTCTACTTACCCAAGTCTACTTTTAATGAAGCATTTTAAAACATGGTAGAGCCACGCTGCAGCTATATTAAGGTAGTAGCATGAATGGATCGGCTAGACCGTGGCAGGACCACGCGACCACAGAATACCAGCGCTTAGTGCTGCTGTGTTTTGTACGGTAAGTGTAAAGAAACATAGTCCCTTTTCACTGGAAACGAGGCATTCCATCTTAGATCTCTAGGGTGACGAAGAATTTTCATTTTGATTTTTAATCTCTAAAGTTCACGTTTGTCACATACTACGATAAAAAAGTCAAAGACTGATTGAAAGTATGCGTATGATACTTTGTCCAAGGATTAAAACTATGCTTTTTGCATGATGTTTAAAGTTAATTAAATTTTTGTGCACTCAGCAAAAGGAACTTCATCAAAAGAGGAATAAATTTAGAATGGTACGTTTGCGGAGCCTACAAAGAACTCTATTAAAATGCTGCTGTGTTCCATACGATGAGTGTAGATAACCGGACACCCTTTTCACTGGAAATAAGGCATTCTATTTTAGACCTCTTGTGCGATGATGTATTTGCATTTTGATTCTTAATTGAGAATAACATGTAGATATTTATGGACCACAGCATCAACTTACCATCAGATGGAATTTATTCTCATTTGTCACGATAAAAAAGTCAAAGACTGATTAAAACTATGTCCTTTCTATTATGTTTAAAGTCAGATAAATTTTTGTGCACTCAGTAAAAGGAATTTCATCAAACAAGGGATATATTTAGAATGATTCGTTTGTGGAGCCTACAAAGAACTCTATTAAAATTATCTTTGCTTAAAGCGGTAAAAATAAATTGAGTTTTCAACAAGAAGAATCGTTTGTGACATTTTTTTAATATATTTGTCATCTCTATATATAAAAATCAATTGCTGTCCGGTAATTTCGCAAAAACTAGAAAATGGCTGGACCCGTTTGATGAAATTTTTTGTGGTGTTTGAGTGGGTGCCTGGATGACTTAGATTCACAATTAGACCCGGTAGGTGACGCTGTTGTCAAGATACAAAAGTCATCCGTGCGAAGCCGGGGGAGAGCGCTAGTGATTAATATTTTATACCTAGCTGTGGGATGATAGGCGGCAACTTCACTTTAGAGATAACGTATGATGGTAGAGACTTATTTAAAACTGCACGCGCTTCTTTTGTATTTTTGGTAGATTTTGACACATGTACCGTATACCGTAAGTATTGTAAAATGAATTTATTTCTTAGATATTTGTATTTTTACTATATTAGATATGATGAAAATGATAGAATCTGCCAAAATACACGAAGGTACGTGGTAGTTTTCAAGCGATTTAAAAAAAAGTATTTTTTATGTGTGTTACCTCAGAACTTTTCTCTAGGTGAACCGATATTGATGATTCTGTTTTCATTTGAAATCTAGTGCATTTCATATGGTATCATATAAATTTGATCAAGACCACCAGTAGTTTTTGAGCAATCCTTAATAATGCGTATTTAATTGATTTCGACTATGATGATGTTGTTCTCATTTGATTTATATTAAAGTCGGTTGAACAAAATTTTTAATTTCCCCAGTTTTAAATTAAACTTTCTTTAACCTAATGATATACTCGTAACGTTGAAATTGATAATTTATCTCTGTTAAGTAGTGATACGAACCCACCAAATAGAACCGAGCATATGTGTTACACGTGCTGCCACCGCTGCCACCAGTATAATGCGAGTAAACGAAAAGAGTGGTCGAGTGACAAAGTTATAGCGCTATGTATCGTATGCACGATATTCTTTCAAATTTTTAATCTATACAAATAAATAAAATTTAAGTGTCTGTTTGTTATTAAGGATTATGGGTTCGGATTCTCCATAAAATGTTTTCTTGATAATAAATCTTTTATTTAGTATCTATGCACATTCACGGTAAGAAGTTCTACAGTTCTACGAAGCAACAACGCCATCTGGCTGCCAATAAAAAAATATAAATGACTGCGTTCAGATTTAAATTTTCTTTTTCTAAATTTAACACTCCCACTAAAATTTAAATCTCTTAACTAATTATCTGATCCCTTATATAAATAAAAGTTTGAGTGGGCAATGCCTTAGTCAATATATCTGCTAATTGATCTTTACTAGGAACATAATTAATTTTAATCATGCCCAACTCAACTTTTTCTCTAATAAAATAGTACTTAACATCTATGTGCTTCGTTCTTTTATGATAAATAGGATTATTTATTAGTTTTATCGCACTTTGATTATCAATAAACATAGTTACACATTTACAATTTTCACCTAAATCTAACATTAATTGCCGCAGCCATATCATTTCTTTTGCTGCTTCACATGCAGCTACAAATTCTGCCTCAGTAGTGGAGAGAGCAATGGTCTTTTGTTTTTGGCTGGACCAAGTAATTGGTCCACCGTTCATCATAAAAATATTTCCTGTTGTTGACTTACGTGTATCGACATCACTTGCATAATCAGAATCAGAGTAACATATTAAGCCATCACTTTCTCCATACTTTATACACAAATCTTTAGTATTAATTAAGTATCTAACTATACGTTTGACAGCATTTACATGTTGCTGACTAGGATTGTTTACATATCTGCTTAATACATTCACAGCAAATGATATGTCAGGTCTAGAAACAGAACACAAAAATAATAAAGAACCAATAAGTTCCCTATATGGAAAATTAATAATGTTTTCATCCTCATTCTTTGTCATAATTACATTGACATCTGCTGGAGTACTAGTTAGAGTTGCATTTGTCATACAAAATCTCTCAATAATTTGTTTTATATAATCTCTTTGGTGAATATGGATACAATTATTTATTCTCTCAATTTCCATACCAACAAAATATCTCAATGGCATCACTTTTATTTTAAAAGCTTGTTTCAAATATTCTATAATTTCTTGGATCAGTTGTTTACTAGAAGATATTACAAGGGCATCATCAACATAAATAATTAAAATTACTTTAATCTTATTGAAAACCCCTATAAAAATACAATTACCAGCCTGAGATTGTACAAAACCATATTTCATTAAAAACTCAGTGAACCTTTTGTTCCAACAACGAGAGGCATGTTTCAACCCATACAAAGATTTATTTAATTTTAACACATAACTTTTATCTAAAATTACACCCTCAGGCACTTCTAAAAAAATATTTTCCTCAAGATACCCATTAAGAAAAGCAGTCTTTACATCAAACTGTTGATTTTCTAACTTATACTTTGCTGCAATAGAAAGAATAATTCTTATAGAGTCATATCTAGTAGTTGGAGAAAATATTTCTTGGTAGTCCACATCTTTAATCTGAGTAAACCCTCGTGCACACAGACGAGCCTTGTACCGTGTCTGATTATCTTCATTCTTCTTGATTGCGAAGACCCACTTGGTAGTAAGGGTCCGCTGACCAGCTCTTGTTACCGCACTCCATGTGTTGTTCTCTTCATGTGCAGATAATTCTTCCCTAATGGCTTGAGACCATTCATTTTTCTGTGGACTTTGTATGGCTTCATCATATGTCTGAGGTAATGACAATTCAACAAGGGTAGCTTCAAAACGTCTATTATTTCTTGGCCTCAAATTTATGTTACACTGTGGCACATCTTCTATTTCTTGAGACGGCTCATATGTAGGATCATCACTGTTGCAACTTAATAAGCTGTCATCAGATTGTAATGCTACAGTTTCCATTAGTGTTTCATCCACATTTCTTGCTTCAGTTTCATCATTTTGTATCTTATCTTCATTTTCATCAGTTATACATATCTGATTAATATTCTTTCTTATTGCTGGAGTTTGATGTTCATCAAAAATCACATTTCTTGAAATTTTGATTGACTTATTATTTACATCATACATTCTGTAATTGGTATTATCATAGCCAACAAGCATCATTTTTTTACTCTTCTTTTCTAATTTAGTTCTCAATTGATCTGGAACATGTACATATCCAACGCTGCCGAACACCTTCAAATGACCTAATTGTGGTTTGATACCATTCCATAATTCATATGGTGTTTTACCCGGAGTCTGGCTTGAAGAAGTTCTGTTCAATATGTAAACTGCACAGCTCACCGCTTCAGCCCACAGCTCCAGTGGAACATCTCTTGCATACAACATGGAGCGAGCACTTTCTACTATGGTTCTATTTTCTCTTTCTGCTCGTCCATTTTGTTCTGGTGAATAAGGAGCAGTTAGCTCATGTACTATCCCCTCTTTGTCCAAATATTCCTTGAAAACTTTGTTTACATACTCTCTACCATTATCAGTATGTAATATTCTTATACTGTGCATGTATTTATTCTTCACAATATTTCTTAAACATTTCCATAACATCACTTTTATTTTTTATGAAATATACATGCCTGTAACTAGTTACTGCATCTTTGAACAAGACAAAATATCTCATTCCTTGAACTGATGTGCAAGACATTGGTCCACAGACATCACTGTACACTAAATCTCCAGGTTGTAGTTCGCCTCGTACAGATTTGTGAAATGGAAACCTGCACTGCTTTCCGTATGCACATGCCTCACATACAAAATTGTTTTTATCATTGTTATTAATTTCCAAACCTGTAACAACATTATTTGCACACATACTCTTAATTTCTTTTAGGTTTAGATGTCCTAGTCGCTCATGCCACATTTTGATATCACTTTGATTATTCTGGACCAAGTTGCAAGTATCTGGGGTGATTGCTTTTATATTCAGCTCATATAAATTATTTTCTCTGATCCTGGCACTCATAACCACTTGATTATCTTTATAGATCTATGCATTTGAATCTTTCTTTATAATAGTGTAATCTCTTCTTATTATGGCACCTTCTGAGAATAAGTTTCTTCGCAGACTTGGGACATACAACACATCAAGTAGTTCACTGGATTCCCACTGTCCATTTATATATCTTTTTATCAACACTACCAATGCCACACACTTCTACAGACTGTTTGTTTCCTAAAGTTAATATCTTCTGACTGCATTCAACCAGTTCCATAAAGAATTCCTTTCTATAAGTCATATGTGCAGAGGCTCCACTGTCTAGAATCCAAGTATTCTCTTCTGTGCTAGACGCGTTATTCTCTACATTAAACGCTAACATATCTGCACCTTCTTGTTGAGGTTTTCTTGACTTAAATTTTCTTGGAGCACGACATTCTCTAGCAAAGTGTCCTCGCTTTCCACAGTTATAACATTCAAACCTGTATTTGGTATTTTTATTTTGATTTACTCCACTCTGCATCGGCTCACTTTGTTTTGATTTCAACTTCCATCCTTTATTAGCAACAAGGAGAGCTGTTTCTTGTTCTTCTTCGCCTACTAAACTTGCTTCTTCATCTAAGAGGCGAGCAGTTAAATTCACAATAGTCTGTTGTTTTGAATCCAATGACATCCACGCTTGGCGCAGTGATCTGTACTTAGGTGGCAATGTTCCTAAAATTTTTGTTATGATGGCCATGTCACTGATAGTCTCACCACTCTCTTTTAGTTGTTTAGCCAAGGATTCCACCTTTGAGATATGTTGAGCTACACTGTCACCCGGCAACATTTTATACTGATAAAACTTTTCATGGACTAGCATTTTACACAACTCACTCTTTTGTTCGTATACCGATTCAAATTTTGTCATTATTTCCTTGGCAGTCTCACAATTCTCTATTAATGTTATTTGTTTGAAATCCATTGACGAAGTCATGATGAACATTGCCATACCATCATTTTTCGACCATTCAGCACTGTTTTGTTCCGTTCTTGGCACTCTGATATCAATTCCTTTTGCCTTTAAAGCGCATTTTATCTGGAATTTCCACTGGCGAAAATTATTTCCATCAAATTTCTCGAGATTCATTGACCGCGTGGTATCCATTTTTAGGTTATTTGTCAATGAATATTCCGTACTATTCCTTTCTATTAACAGTGTCCTGGGCCCATAACCTATTAGGGTTATGGATTCGGATTCTCAATAAAATGTTTTCTTGATAATAAATCTTTTATTTAGTATCTATGCACATTCACGGTAAGAAGTTCTACAGTTCTACGAAGCAACAACGCCATCTGGCTGCCAATAAAAAAATATAAATGAATGCGTTCAGATTTAAATTTTCTTTTTCTAAATTTAACAGTTATGAATGTTTATTTACGAAAATTTAATGTATGTTCACAAAAACAAAGATAGTTTTAGTAAAAAAAGTGATATTCATTCTGTAAACACTAGGAACAAACACAAGCTAGTGATGCCAGTTTCTCGACTCCACAGAGTCAGTAATTCATTCTTGGGGCAATGTATACGCTATTACAACAAGGTCCCGGAAAGTGTACAGGCTCTCTCTATTAGCAATTTTAAATGTTTTGTTAAGTTGAATGTGTATAAAAAGGGTTATTATAGTATAAATGAATACATGGTTGATAATAACCCCTGGGAATGAGGTGGTCGCTCCCAAACAGTTTCTAAAATAAATTTTGTAAATAGTTCGTAATCATTTATATTGTAAAATTTATAAAGTCCCGCTGGGTTCCTTGCTGGTTCTTCCCAGGACAGAGAGTTTTTTTCGAACCAGTGGTAAAGTAAATATGACTTTCAATAAGAATTACACATGTAATGTATATTGAATAAAAAATTATTCTATTCTATTCTATTCTATGGCAAAATTATAGCTTTTTACTAAATGCATATGAAAGTATATACAGTATTAATAACAAAAATATAATTTTTAAAGTTTTTGTCTGTTTGTCTGTCTGTCCGTCCGTCCGTCTGTCTCTCTGTTTGTTCCGGCTAATCTCCGAAACGGCTGGACCTGGAGTAACTTAGGCTACTGTTATTTTAGAAAAATAATTAGGGTTCCACGCAAAAAAAAAAAAAAAACCCCAAACAACACGGGGGCGAAGTGGCGGGGAACAGCTAGTTTTTAAATAAAAAAATAAAAATTAAAAGGTTTTATTCAGAAACATATTCTTACAAGTACATATACCATGGTAGACTTCTTCTATTGAACGCATAATGAGTCTGAGAATCAAAATTCTAATTTTTGTGCGTTTTCAACTTCAATAAATTCTAATGTCTTCAGCCATTCAGTGAGTTTCTGTTTACAGTTTCGATAAGTCATAGGATATATATCTAGTATGTTATTTATTTTATTATATAAATGAGACTAGACTTTTTATGCACTGATTGCAAGCAAATTTATTCTGTGCGTAATTTAGTGTGGCGACTCACTTTTTTTTTTTAGTTGAAATATTGGTGTTAATATTAAAGGACGTATGTTTTTTCACAACTACGTGCAATGACTAAGTAAAGTTAACGAACTGTCAATAAATCTGCATATAAATACAATGAATTTGTTGAAAACTGACGTTTTTTGAAATACATTTTTTTAAATAATCTTTGTCTGTAATTTTTCATAATTTTAAGTCTTTTTTTTTTTGCTTTGCTACGCATAATTGTTTTACGTAATTTCGACAAATAGCCACTTTGTTATATTGTAAAATTTTTTGTTTGTCCCCAGAATCACAGAACTTTTTTGTATTTTGGCTAAGTGCTTCTGGTAAATAAATAAATTTATTATTATTATTATTATAACATAATTTTTAACAATCCCCAATTCCAATATGAGCTCGTTCTAATTGTATACAATAAGTTTTTACAGCACCAGCCCATATCGTTATACAAGAAATAGATATATTCAATAAAAAAAGATTGTGCCAACGGAATTTAGACCTGATAAAGTCACTTTTTATTTGCAAAGTGTCTAAATGTTTTAAAAATCCAGATTAATTTACGTAATCTGCCAGAAACCAATTCGACATGAGACAGCTCTGGTCCACTAAGACACCAAGGTACTTCGTAGAAGTTGGTCTAGTTATAGAGGGGCAGTTGCAACTAACTAGCGGCTGACAGCAATGAATCTTAATATCGCTAGGAAAGTTAGGCAGGCTGTTTTTTTTATTGAAAACAAAATATAATTTGTTTGGCTGGTATTTATTATTATTACACGTGAAATTAACGTAATAAAATAAAATATCGTAGACAGCTGTGAGCGTTTCTGAGGCAGAATTGAGCTATTATATGGTACATGTTTTATTTAATACTTTTTTTAATAACGTTTCTGAGAGTATTTAAATCATTTGAGTAAAACGAGAAGGGACATGATAGGGTAGTGTAAAATAGACCGTACCCTATCTTGTCCCTCATAAATTTCGAAATCAAAATTAAAGTTTTTTATCATATCAGAATGGCCAGAAACTATAAAAGATAGACGGACTAAGGTAAATAAATAAATGGTCAGAAGAAACGATAACTGCTGTATTAGAAGATAAAATGGGTTGTTGCCTAGTATCAAAACATATTCAATCCCACAGAGTAAACTAGGAAGAAAGGTGAAAAATGCTCAAAAAATACTCGTGTCTTAAAACAAAGTGAAAGTACTGCAATTATTACGTCTTCCTCATACAAAAATCGTCTAGAAGAAAGCATCAAAAAAAGGCATGGAAGAAGGTAAAGAAGGGAAAAACAAACAGATTATAAAATTTGAAGGTAAGAGAAATTGGACAGACATTAAGAAAATAAACAAAAAAACTAAAAAGAAAGTCTTGATCATAATTAGATAATACGGAAAAAGAACACATGGGAAAAAGGACTTTTTTGGTATTTTTTGGCTAAATTTGAACTATATTTGGGATCAGTGGAAGAATGGGTAAGTTGTCAGGTATGAGGTAAATGGGCTCATTCCTCATGTGCCGATTTAGAAAATAACGACGATGGGGCAAGATGGGAAAAAGGACTTTTTGTATCTGTTGATTTATTATTTTTAATACCTTAAATAAATGTTTAGTTCTTTGTTAACCAAAGAATAGTTGAAGAATAAAGTTCATTAGTTGATTACAAAAACCTGTGTTTTATTCATCACTAAGCCTTAACCACCCTGTCATGTCCCACCGTTCCCTACCCAAATGTATGCGCAAGCACAGGTGCAGTCTCTATTCCCTCACTCTCACAGTCCGATGGCACGGTAATCGCCCACGACCGGAGAGAGATCAGGTTCAGGGACTACGGGCTTACGGGCTCTCCGAGGCTCGGGGTTGAAACTATCGCCAACTTCATGACTCCGGGCTGCTACTTAGAATTTCTTGACATAAAAACCCAATAACTGATTTTTACGCGACCGGGGATTCGAACTCAGGACCTCATAATCAGCAACCGCGTTTATGACCACTAGAACAACTAAAAATTTCCTAACGATTTTTCGAACAAGAAATTCAGCAGGAGACCCCACTTCTGATCTCGGAAATTACA